AAATTTACTGATGAATCATCACACACATTCATAGCAAATGGGTTATGATCACCTCAAAAAAAAACGGGTTTCCAAATTTTGTGCAAAAAATAATCTTTAGAAAAGTTATTTGAAAATATAGGAAATAAAACTATAAAAGCACACAATGATTTTAAAAATTATTGTACTTAACTATATACCTATCCTAAAAATCAATTACCTTAATATGTTTGTTCAAATAACACCATGCATGGCAATGTCAATATGACAGTAAATAATATTGATGTCACTGGTAGCGATGGGAACTATCGAATGAATTAGACTATCGAATGGTTACTGAATGAATGATTTCAACTATCGAATGGTTTTATTATTAGAATGAAATCATTTATTCATTTGTATACTAAAGCATACGTGACAACCTCGCTGTGCCACTAAATGGTTATCGTTGAGCCACGACTATCGAATGCTTTTGATAAATGAAATTTAGTATCCGTTTGATTTTTGTGTGCGTCAGTGCATTATTAGTTCTTCCAAATTTTTATAACTTCGCCGTATAAATACTGTGCTATTTTTGCATTTATTAAAATATTTAAAATACTAAAATAGTAGTTTTTTTTAATTGACGATTGTGTGCGTCGGCAGGTGGTCAACATTTTTCCGAAAATTTTTGTGATTTTCCGTAGCCCGATCTTTCAGTTATTTAATTTTATATGGTATATGGTCTATTTTTTAATGGAAAATTTCGAGAAGTAGCAATTTTTAAGAGAGATGAGATGAACTTACAATTAATTTTAAAAATAGATATCTGTATTTTAGATGTTTTAATAATATGAATTAGTTGAACTTAATAATCATATTTAACGTGCCAATTTTAAAAAAAAGTTAACGATGTGTGTATTTTGTTTATGCTAATTCTCTTGCATGTAGTTTTTTGCGAAGAAATATTTCATTTATTTTTTAAATGCCAGTAAAAGTAAATAATATTATTTTTAAATAGTAATATAAAGCACCTAATATAAATAATTTTGATTTCTAATTTTTTATTTATAATATTTTCCTTCCATTACACTGCATGCTTAGAAAATTAATAAATGTTGATATTTCATGATTTTAAAATTTGTTGTTAATATAACAAATTAGTTCTGTAATTATTATTATTTAAAAAACAACCGTTGCCAAAAAAATTATAGTCTATATTATTTTTAAATAGGATCTAATATAAATAATTTTGACATCTAATTTGTTATTTATATTTTGCCACTACTTAAAAAAATGTTTATATTAAATGATTTTAAATACAAATTTGTCGTTATTATTTATTAAACCAGTCTTTGCTTAAAAGCATTAAAAATCATTTTCCTATATCCAAAATAACAAGTATTATTGTAGTGTAACAACAGAATATTAATAAAAAAAATGCAAAATATATAGACGTACTATCCCTAACTAACTAAAGCCAGACAATAATATTCTTTGCTAATATCAACTAATACCAATATATGGCAACAGCGCCCTTCATAATGTAGTTTTTTGTGTAAATACTAACACCTCAATAAAAAAAATAATGTGTCCTTATCTATTCCGCAAAAAATTAAAGATGCCGCCTTCTTTCATAGCATTGCCACCGACCGCTGTCGGGTTTCTCGGAAAGAAACCTACGTCGCCGGGCGACAACTAAAATCCAGTTAATATTTTATTATAATCGATCCTGACGAATAAATGAATTTCATAAATGAATGAATTTTATAAATGAATGGTTTTTGCTGCCGAATTACTAGAATACAATATTTCAAGGCAGATGACGCGTCAATTCGATAATTTTTATTCGAATAGTTTTCAACGAATGTTTTCTTACTAGCTATCGAATTATTCGAATGAATTGCAACTATCGAATGTTTCGATAGTATTCATTCGATAGTTCCCACTACTAGTCACTAGTTTAAAAAATGAGCGATTCGGAAAGTATTCCCTCTGACATTGAAGAAGAGGCATTCAGAGACATGTCTGGATTTCTTCCAGCAAGATCGAAACAGAAGTATGAGTATACACATAATCAAGTATGAAAAATTGGGCACCGAAAAAAAAGTACACAACTATGGAAATGAAAAGGTACCTTCTTCTTATCACGCCTTCTCCTGCCGAAGGTTGGCGATCCAAATGGCAATTGTGGCTCTGGAAACTGCAGCCCGGAAGATTTCCGCAGACGAGCTTTCAAACCATCTCCTTAAATCATTTAGCCATGAGTTCTGGCGTCTTCCTACTGATCTTTTCCCTTGCACTTTGCCCTCTACAAAAGGTACCTACTCATAACATATTTAGCTACTGATAAGCCTTCGTGTCTTTGGGATTTCTATTCAATGACACGTACTATGATATCTATTAAAATGAATGTATATGCTTCATCAGGCATTTACTTGAAAGATTGTTCAAACTGTATCATTAACATTTATAATAAATTAGTTTGCAAAATAAATGTTTTACAAAATATTTTTTTCTCTTTGGTAGTCATCTAAACAAGGAGTGCGGTAATGAAAATGCGTGAGTTACACGGTTTCATCCCTAATTCTACCACCAAAATAATTTTTAAAAAGCCTGGCACATTTTTTTACTTTCCAACCTTAAAAAACGTAAAAAAAGTTAATCCAAAGTGTTTTTAGGCGAAAATGAGGCCAAACAGTGGAAGCCCTTTTGATCCCGAGAAGCCTTCGTTTTTGCACCGCCATAAAATTAATTTATCTCCCTTCATCCAGCTTAATTCCTTGCCCCAGTACTTTCATAAACATTTACGACTTATTTTCGGCTTTCCCCCATTTGTTTTGCGCCCCCAAGCCCTCCACACCCCCGAGCCATCGGATTAAAATGTTTATCAAAAAGAGAACGCAGCCTGTGCAGAGGTCATAAACACCCAAACTTGTAAAGATCGTTTATATTTCTGGTCCTAAGGAAAACCATCCTTTGCTGGATCGATGTAAGGGTAGTTTTGCGAGATTGGAAGACATAAATAGTGCCCACTATACCATTGTTATTTTTTCTCCTCTACGAAGTGGCAAGTTTAATTTTACAATCCGAAATTTTGCATTCGAGAGATCATCAACTTTCTTCATTTAAATGCAGAATTGGACTTCTTATTTCACTCTATTTAATGTCCTTCATAATTACAAAATAAGTTATGATATAAAAAAATTGTGTATGCACTATGTGCGCATATTTGAAGTGAAAGTTCTTACTAACAGCTATTATTAAATTGAAGGAGTTGAAGGACATGTTTGAAAAAGTGTAATTTGAAATGTTGAAATAGATGTAGCCCATCCTCAATTATGCCCGAAGCGACCCACATTTTTCTTCAATATCAAATCCTTAGTCCCACCCTGCTGAAGATGTAAACGAAACGTCCGTCGTATCCAACTTTGCAGGGGACCGTGTGGCACCGTCGCTCACATAGTCTACCCACCAAATTTGGTCGCGATTGGATGACATCAACTTTTCACGTTTCTTACGTCAAAACTAATTGTTACACACTATAGTTTAGTAATGTCAGTTTAGTATTCGACAACATTGTAACGCTGGGAATATTTTAGAAAGATTGAGCAGGTGCCTTTATGTAAAAATCCAAATTTTCAAAAAAAAATCTATCACCGGTTCACCATAAGCGCCTAACGTGCCATCGTATCACCGTGAACCACTTGAATACCTTAAACTTCAGAACAAGGATAGTGAGACATTCGGTATATTAACTAAAAAAAAGTAAAATAAGAGGGGACTTTTATTTAGCAACGTACATACTTATTATAATTACTGTTTCTGAAAAGGATCATCTTTCTCGGTACACAAAAGCTTTTTAAAATATAATCTTCCCATTACAGAGAATGGAATAGTTTAATACGCCTGGCACGATTCAAAAGGCCCAGAACAAAACTAAATAAATAGCTATATTAAAAAAGGGATAGTAGACTTAGGAAGAAAGGGATATCCCTTTTCAAAGGAAGGGTTCAACGTGGGTAAAGGTCCACGTGTCCCGACAATGGAGGGTCGATTTTTTTGGTGATTGATGATACTAATTACTGGCAAAATTACAAATGGGGTTATATACTATCGTGAAGTGAACTTCGTAAAATTTTCAAGCTTTCTCTTTTTGCATATTTCTCTAACTTTATTTATAACAGAAGTATTGCAGCATTGGTTTTAGTTTTGTACAAAAAGCAAGACCGAACATATCGAAATTTTGTATTACTCGGTGGCATTTTAAAAAAACCCAAAATTGAACTGGAAATAAAAACTTCACTCATTGACACTGAATTTTTATTTTTTGCGAAAATATTCTTTTTGTTTACGGTCTTAACTTTTTTTGTAGGTGCTTATCGACCTCCGGTAGATGTGAAATACACAGGGTGGTCCGAATTGTATTCCGAAAACTTCGACAGCATATTCTGCAGATAGAAATAAATAAAAAAGTTCATATAAATATCTGTCCTAAAATGCTTAGTTTCGGAGATACAGGGTGTAGAAGTTTCATTTTTATTTCGATTTTTTCCAAATCATTTCTGAAGTTACATCAATATTTAGATGAAAATTGGTATCTGGAAGTTTTTTGACATGAGAATTTTGATTTTGATGTTAATGACTCCTACTTTTAGAGGGCGCCACCTACATATTTTTTAACTGGTTTAAAGAGTATAACTTTTTGTCCGTACCTGTATAAAACTACTGAGTAAAAAAATATAGGTACATTTAAGACGTGTTTTATATAAAAAAGTCTCTTGGTAAAAATCGCTAAGAGTTAATGGTTCTCGAGATATTTGGAATCTAAATTATCAATTTCTGTCATCATTGACATAAATTAAACGTGTTGACTAAATAGTTATTAGACTGAAATCATAACTTTGAAATATATTTGTGCTAAAAGTTCAACAAAAACTGTTTCATCATTATTTTTTCGATACATGATAAAAATTGATGGTGATAGGAACATCATTGAATTTTTATTTTTTGGGGAAATAATGTTTTTTCCTTTTTTACAGGTGCTTATCGATCTCCGAGGATAACCGAACACCCTTCGGACATCATCGTCGCCAAAAACGAACCTGTCACGTTAAATTGTAAAGCAGAAGGCAGACCTGACCCGGTAATCGAGTGGTTCAAAGATGGGGAACCCGTGAAAACCTCCCCGTCGGATAACAAGTCGCACAGGGTACTGTTGCCGACAGGTTCCTTGTTCTTCCTGCGAACGATGAATAGCAAAAAGGAGCAAGATGCAGGCGTTTATTGGTGCGTGGCCAGGAACAAAGCAGGAACGGCGACAAGCAGAAACGCCACACTACAAGTTGCAGGTTTGTAACTTTTTCCTTACAAAAATAATAATAAGTATAACCTAATAGTGTATTTTGCTTGATAGCACAATAATGATAGCACAAAACCTTCATTATAAATGCAAAATATATGTTCCAATGATATTCAGACAGCTTCAACAAGTTTTGTAGATGGACACATCCGGTACGTTTGCCGAGAATAATAGGGGATGCTCGTATAACAATAAGTAATAAACATATTTTCAGGGGCTGACCGCAGCAGCGTCGGGTATTAGGGTTTTAATATTTATTTTTTGTTACACAGCGTAAAAATATGTTAATGGCACTACAAATATTTATTTACCCGTTATTGGAATTTTGAATAACATTGGATTACACTCAATTATTATACATATGTATTAGTGAAGAAATATTAAGTTTTTAATGTTAAATGAATGTATCAGGTTACGAACCATAAATAGCATAACTACAAAAAGCAATATCACACGTTTAGAAAAGCATTTGAATTGATGTTAAGTATATACAATAACTAAAATATACAACATGTAATTACAAATCATCCTCAATGGAGTCAGAGTCATCAGAATTTCCAACTGAGATTAACAGAGGTTCTACTGTCTCGTCCAAGGGATTGTCAAGATCCCACATTTTTTGCTCCACTTTTATGACGTAGTTTATGGCATTTTTCCAATATTCGGCAGATATTTGTGTTAAAAAACATACTCATAAGTTCTCGCACATTTTTTAACTTAAAAGTTGTGTTATTCCGAGCTACAAATTCTTTCATTGGTGCCCATTAGGGTTTCCGGAACCGGAGCTGTTTTTCGGAACCGGAAATTTCAGTACCCTCTCAGGAACTGGGATTTGTCGATTTTTTCGGTACATTCGTACTGACTAATTTTTGTTCAATGGTGGTGCAGTTCATCAATCAGAAAGCAAGGAATGGTTTTTCAAAGTAAAATGGATAGAAAATTGAGATTTTTAATGAAAATAATATAAAATTATTAAGTAATCAGTCATGAGAAAATTAACATGAACGCAAGTAAAGAAAAAAGTATAGGTAACTTAAATTTCACATCAAACAACATAAAGCAACTTAACTGAATTTGAGGCAAAAGCCCTAAAATATTGAATTAAAAATGCAAGTATCAATTAAAACATAATATAATAAATATTATAGGAACTTCAAAAGAGAAAAGAAGCAGGATCAATAAGAAATAGCATCATTACTTATTTGAGTTTGATTTCGACCGCTAGAAAGTATCAAAGGACTTTCTCATTTAACAAAAAAATAATTTTTTAATTATTGTTATCGAGGTCCGGTTTTATGATCGCCAAAAAGATCTAAACCCTAATTAATAGTATTAATTAGAGTTTCCGAAACCGTACTAAAATATTTTCGTTCAATGATTGTGCAGTTCGTCAATTAACAAGCAAGGGATAGTTCTCAAAAGTAAAACCGATAAAAAATTGAGTTTCAAATGAAAATAATATAAAATTATTAAGTCATGAGAAAGTAAACATGAACATAAATAATGAACACAAAAATTATATCAAACAACATCAAACAACCTCGAAACCAACTTAACTAAATTAGAAAAAATCTTAACATTTTCAATTAAAGATGCAAATGCCTATAAAACATAACACAAAAAGTATAACAGAACTAATACATTCAGCAATTTTATACTAAATAATAAAATAACATATTTAAACTTTAATAATTGCTAATAAACATTATAGAAACTTCAAGATAATTTCAGAAGTAAGAACAGTAAGAGATCGTAACGTAACAAAAATTATGTTTTTAATTATTATTACCGAGTCCCGAAAGTACCGGAAGAACCGAGAATTAATAATTTCGAGTCCCGGTTCTTTGATGTCTTAAAAGAACAGAGAGTTCCCGGTACTTTCGGTACTGGGATTTCCCGGTTCTGAACCCTAGTGCCCATGTAAGTCCAATGGGATTTAATTCATAATGATAGGGTGGCAACCGAAGCACATTTATTCCAGGCGCTTTAGCCATTTCGTCAGTAATATGTTTTTTTAAAGCTATAGATACAATACACAAGCAATTATACAGGGTGGTGGCAATTTCGATGCTCAATATTGGCATCTCAGAAACTACGAGAGATACGAATTCGGTTAAATGGGACAAAAGTTGTGTAATTAGAAGTTTGACACACACCTATGAAGAAAACCCCGGTATCTTGATTAGTTGAATGGTAAAAAAATGAAAATAATACGTTTATTTTATATGAAAATATATCTTCAAAACTATTGTATCTATAGCAATGTAAGTTGGTAGATTTATATTTTTGACCTAGGCCAATTAAATGCTTTTTCAGAAAATTTCTAAGCGTTCTAGATTTCACCGAGGGGTGTCTCACTATTGGAATTACATGTACATTTTCTTGGCAGTCGCTGGCAGTCATTGGCAGTCTTATGGCAGTCGCCTATAATAATTACATGGCAGTCATAGGCAGTCTTCTTCATAGTCATTGGCAGTCGCTTAGCAGTGGAAGGATATTTTGGCAGTACGTGTACATTTTTTACCCGAGTGAGACACCCCTCGGATTTCACATAACAACAGTCAAGTTTTTATTTTCTTATGACCGCCATTTTGATTTTTTATTCTATTAGATAGAGCGAAAAAAAGTCTATACAGTGGTATCTAATTTTTATTCATTATTGTGTAAATTCACTAAAAAATAGATTTTTTAAAAATTCGCCTAAGATCAAGTCTGCCTTGGAAATCCAATTGACACTTTATATGTCAGCAAGTTAATTTTTGTTTATTCTATTAAGTGTCAAATCTGGATGCACAAAAATTGTATAGTAGAGTTCAATACAAGGAATTGTATTACACATTTAAATTTAAAATTGTGATATTTATGTTTTTTTTTTTGATAATTTTCCCTACATAAGGATCACTTAATACAGCTCTCGCGACTTATTTTACGGCTAGAAGTTTCCGGACTTATTTCAATCTGAGCTGGTATGGCTATCATTAAGCTTTTTAAAATATTGCCCATCTTGTTTTTTAAAGCTACCAGCAACTACTAAATTTCTTGAAATCCATGCAAAAATAGTACGATGAAGCTGTGTCCTTTCAGGATACAATGTGCTATAAATTGCGCATGCTATATCGGAATTTCTATTATTTTTTAAATAAACATTATACATATCTCGTTCACTTTTAAACATATCGTTGAGTGTTAATACACTTTACACTATATATTATATACTTTTGTGTCCAGATTTGACACTTAATAGTGTAAACAAAAATTAACTTACCGTCATATAAAGTGTCAATGGAATTTCCAGGGCAGAATTTTTTAAAAATCTATTTTTTTAGTGAATTTACATAATAATGAATACAAATTGATACCACCATATAGATTTTTTTTCGCTCTATCTAATAGTATAAAAATTCAAAATGGCGGCCATAAGAAAATAAAAACTTGACTGTTGTTGTGCGAAATCTAGAAGGCTTAGAAATTTTCTGAAAACGGCATTTAATTAGCCAAAGTCAAAAATATAAAACTACCAACTTAGTTGCAATAGATACAATAGTTCTAAAGATATTGTCATTTAAAATAAATGTATTATTTTTATTTTTTTGACAAAAATCCGAAACTAATCAAGATACCGGGGTTTTCTTCATAGGTGTTTGTCAAACTTCTAATTACGCAACTTTTATCCCCTTTAACCGAATTCGTATCTCTTGCAGTTTCTGAAATGCCAATGTTGAGCATCGAAATTGTCACCACCCTATATTCCTAGTACAATATTTAAATGTGAAAATCGCAATCGCTGGTTACAGTAGCTGCGATTTAAAAATCGCACTCGCAGTTTCAATTGCGATTGGAGAATGGCATTTGCTCATCTCTAGTTTGTATAAAGAACTGTATGGCTGCTCATCGTAGTCTATATTGGTACGTACCGACTTTTTATTGTTCACTGGTGTTTCGTTCCGTATTAATAAATCGCAGCTGAAAAAAATGATATATTGACGTTTTCACGTGGAACGGCCAATCGTTTAACCATTTTCCCCATGCCAGAACGTGTGGGGAAAGCTCGGCTGGCCTCGGTTTTTCATTTTTCTTCCCCGTCGAACCGGTGTACGAAATTACTTACGGCCGAAACTTTAATTAAAGGTATACGTTTGCCCTCAGGCCATTAATTTCGAATTGACACTCCCCCATATTGCGCCGTGTATCACGAACACACGAACCACCATCAAACTACCCCCGTTTTAACTCCAAAGAGCAACGTTGCCGGATAGATTTCGTGGAAAAGTCAGTCTAAAGCGATTTCCAAAGGCTACTGGACGTGAGGGATTATGGATATAACATGGAAAACTCTGTGGTTTTTCTGGTTTTATTACGTTATTTGGAAGTTATACATGGTGTCCCAGAAATAAGTGCAAGTATTTTAAGGGGTGGTAGATCTCGATAAAAGAAACATATATTTTCTCTTTATCGTTTTTCAAATAACTAAGTCCAAAATAACGGAATTTTTACTTTGAAAATTTCCAAAAAAAGAGATTATCTGCTAAAAATTTGACCACTGGATCTTTTCTGGATTTTCCCTTTTGTAAATTTAAACTACTATCTATGTTGCCATATTATCAAGAAATTATTTTTTTTTAATAAAAACTAAAAAAATTTCCAAAAAAATTTTCAATAAATTCCGAATTTTCAAATTTTTATTTTCGCAAAAAAAAACTCATAGGCGTGTTTCTAGGGTTGAACTATACTACCAGTTAAAATACTTGCACTTATTTCTGGGACATCCTGTATATATAGCTTATTAGCCCTGCTGTATACAGGGTGGTCCGAACTGTATTCCGGAAACTTCGGCAGCATATTCTGCTGGTAAAAATAAGTAAAAAAGTTCGTATAAATGTATGTCCTAAAATGCGTATATAGTTTCAATTTTTATTTCAATTTTTTCCAAATAATTTCTGAAGTCACGTCAGTATTTGGATGAAAATTGGTATCTGGGAGTTTTTTGAC